TAGATCCTACAAAATAATTTGTCTTTTTGTTTTTGTTTTTGATCATGCCTATATTCTCAGCACTCTTGGAGGATGAGGCAGGAGGGTTGCTTGAGCCCAGAACTTTGAGACCATCCTGGGCAACATAGCAAGACATTGTGTCTATAACAAACAAAAAAATTAGCTGGGTATAGTGGCTCATGCCTGTGGTCTCAGCTACTTGGGAGGCTGAAGAAAGAGGATCACCTGAGTCCAGGAGGTAAACCCTGATGATGCCATTGCACTTCAGCCTGGACGACAGAGTGGGACCTCAACTCAAAAGAAAAAAAAAAGAAAAAGAAAAAAAAAAGAATTTGTAATTTTTGATGACTAATCATATTATTGACCAGTAATTCTAGAGTTTAACAAATAGGTTTTGAGAACATCTAGGTATGGTAATTGAAATTACAGCTTCCCCAAAGCCCCATATGTGTACGTATTGTCAGTAACAGAACAGGGATTCAAAATGAGGGACCCTGAATTCTTCCCCTGGTGTTTCTCACTCTTGGGTTACTTTCCCTCTGTCAGAGAATCAATCATCACAATAGTCACTTTTTAAAAAGAATAGTTGCAGGGTTATAAGGAATAAGATTTTTTCTTAAAAAAAAGAGGAAAGCAATACCATTTTAACCTTTCACATTGCTAACAGAGAGTGTGAGAAATAATATTTACTTTTTCCAAAATACAAGTTTAACAGGGTTAAGGTAGATGAGAAAAGATGAGAGCAGGAAGCTATTTGCTCTTTTAAAACATAGATGGGTTGCCTTGAACTCTTCAGTTTTTACCATAGCAGGGTTTACTGGTGCATAATTACAGGTCCTTGCCAAATGTCAGCATTCTGTAATGTCTGTTCTAATTTGAGTTGATCCTGTTGTATGGAGGATAAGTCTAGTACACAGATACTAGGAAAAGACAGACTTTTTTAAAGGCGGATTTTAATGCAAATTGATAATAATCTCCATTTATTTATTTTGCTGTTTTAGTTTTTTCTCAATTTCATTTAAAAATGGCAAAAACAATAACTTCAATTAGATTTATATACAAAAGCTACCTTTAGGCAACTTAGGTCTTTGGTTATTGTCTTTAGTCATACTAAAACATGAAGACACTTATGGTATATTATATTATGAACACTTAACAACATGATTATTGAAATATTTATAGTTTTCATCATGTTTATTGGCTTTAAAGCAACTGTCTTATTTAGAACAAGAGATTTAATGGGCTGGGTTGTTGTAGATAAAAATAACAGTTGTGTGTTGGAGGTTATTGCTGAATCATTGTTATATATTATGTTTGTAGTGTTAGCAAGTATCATGGTGATAAGTTTCATATATTTCTAGGTAAGATGATAGTGAACGCTTCATCAGTTTAAGCCTGATTGTCCTTCTAGGGCACCGGTTATATATGTATTTATTAGACAAGTATGACTCTCTTAAAGTTCAGCAGTCACTGCAATGTGTGACTATGTCCATGTCACCTCTTTTAAACTATTCCCCAAGTATCTGGATCCAGTGTAAATGTTCTGTCAGAAACTTTCACAGCCAGCCATTCTTACATCCTCCTACTTTTATAATTCAACATTAGAGAGCAGATAAATTCATGACTCTGATTCACAGGGATTACTGTTTTTGCTATAATGTCCAAATATTGGTCTGCTAAAAATCTTCTTGTAAAAGAAAGAAGTCCACTCTCGTACCATCAAGGTCATTACTGAACTCAGTGCCTTTAGTTTAAAAGCACAGAGATGCCATCTAGCAGTCACCCTCAGAAATTTCCTATACAGAAATAGTCCTTTCCATATAAATCAGCAATAATAGAATTTCTACAAACTTTCAGCTTTTAAAATTACACTTATTGAATGACAATTTGGCATACATCCTATAATTCAGACACCCTATTATAAAAGAAATTAATTGAGAAATCTTAAAATAGGCAAATGATATACCCCTGAGTTTTTCTAGGGGAATGGGAAATTTGTTAATTATTATTTTGATTAAGAAAACAATTTAGATAATTTTCCTGAGAAGAAAATTAATGATCTGTCTATATAAATATAAAAATAATTAATTAGCAGTGAACTACCTTCCTTTGTTGGAAGAAAATACAAATCTTGTCAATTTTCTGATACATTAAATGAGAAAAATAAAGTAAGTGAATGCTGAAAGTAAGTTCATCCCATGAACAATGAAGCTTGGGCATTTTTCAAATTTGAAAACAAAATTAACTTTCAAGTAATTTGTCCTACCATAAGATGGCGATACTTAAGCACTTTTTAAAATGTCATATAAGATCTGCAAGCTTCAGTCATAAGGAAAAAAGAAGCATGATAAACCTAACCATTATGTGGCCTACTATAAAATAGAATTGGTACTGTTATTGGAAAACCTGCTTGTCTTCAGGTAAACTTATATAAGAGAAGTACTTTTCAAGATTTAGATTTACAATGTTGATATATGTGAAATCTTATACCTGAAAAAAATATATATTCAATTTTAACAGTTTTACTGTTTTGCCATTTTCTGTGTGTCCATATGTGGCTATATACATTTTTACAATAAGCTTAAGGTGTAACAATATAGAATGATACTTAAAGAAGTAAATTTATTTGAAAATCTGATTATGACATATCAGTCCTAACAAATTAGTGTGTAGGAAAGAGCTGGTGGAATTTCTGTTCATTTAAGTGTCATCACTTAAATTATTGTGTATTTGTCCAAACACCGCTTTTTTGTGGAACTATATTATTGGGTCTTTAATTCAAATTTCCCCAGGCATAATTTGCTTTATGAAATTTGATTTTTAAAGTCACAACTCCTAAGTATCTAGTACAAAAATAAATGCAATTTGAGAAAATGTATAGTTTATAACCTAATTGACAATTATTTTGAGAACATAATGTTGCCATTTGTAATTTATTGGAGAGGAGGACAGTATAGTTTGGTAATCAAAAATACTTGATAAAATATACAGAAGTAGTTTGTTGCTCTGAACATTTTAATATTTTCTATAATATGTCCTCTGTGTTGTAGAACAAAATATCATCTTTTGAAAAAGATCATTTTGTGTTTTTTGCACATTGTATTGCAGTAGCCAGAAACTAAGAAGGACAATTTGAAAAGTTAATGCATGCCTTCCTTTCCTGGATTTTTTAGTTTAGTAGTGCTAAACATCCCAGCTTATTCCAAAGAAAGTGGAAAGTTTTATAGCACTACGCAGAAACAAACTCATCATAACTGGAAAAGACCATATTTACAAAAAATGGGTTGCTTATTTGGGAAATTTATCTTTATATTTAACAAAAGATTATCTATAAACTTAATTTTAGAAAGAATGTGGTGCAAGCAGCGAAGATATTTATGCATTAAAGACACCGGACAAATCACACATGCAATTGTCAGTAAAAGACTGAGTTTCTGAACTCATTTTAAAGAATGACCAATAAAATTCACTTTACGTTGTGATTTTTTTCTTAGTGATTACCCTTGCTTTTTCAAAATATTTTACTAAGAATATTTCAAACGTGATACAAAATGGAATGCGTTCAAAAGTTTGAGCCAATATCATATAATGAGAATGGTGATGGAGAGTGTGTCACTACTACAGGGTACAGAGGCAAAAAGAAAAAAAAAGATTAAAAATACAAAAGGAGAATCAACACTTTTACCCACAAGTAAAATGCTTTAAAGTTATATTTTAGTACATGAAATATGCCACTAGGTTAATTAGGATAGCATTCGTACACTGTGTGAAGCTTTTACAATGACAATATCAGCACAACCATGGCTTCAAAATAAAATGATTTTTGTTCTCATGAGGTCTGCTACATATGCAGATGTACAGAAATAATTGCAAGTATATATGGCATGATTCTAAGTTTTACCCATATACTACATTAGCCCTAGAAATATCACAAACACGGTCTTGGATTATGCTTGGTTACATCTCAGTTTTGTTCAATTATGCTAGGAAACAATTTCACTACACGACACAGACAATGTCAAGCTTTAAAAATAACTTTACAACATCCCAAAATATAGCTCTTATTGGTTTGTCAGCATGGAATTCATTTTTCTCTATAGTGTCAAATCACAGCTGAGCCATGAAATAAGTAAAATAATAAATCAATTGTGCCTCTTACTCCAGATGATTATGATTTTCTCAGAATGCTGAAGCTCTCAGATTCCCTCGTGTGTCACCAATACTTTTCTCATACACCGCTACAAATATTTCCCTGTCTTCCCCGTCTTTTTATCAAAGTGTTCACTCTAATTGTCAGTCCTGGATTATTTTCAGAGTTTAACAACCATGAGGCAACTCATCTTTCCCATAGCCCTCCTTAGTTTGTCGAGGTTCTCACTTCCTGTTCCTCAATGCCAGTCATCAGAACTTCCTCGGGGCCCCCTCATTTGCTTAATGAACAGAGGCAAACACAAACCCCTTCCTCCGCCGCGTCCCCGCCATGGCAGCGAGGGCAGCCCTGCTAGTGCAGCCAGCATCCTCCCGCCTGTGTTGGACCCACACCGCAGCACGTCTGCGATGGAAGTGCTGTGGACCAGGATCGGCTGGAAAACGCTTCCCTGCTCTCAACAAAGACACGGTGCACCATCTCCTAATACACGACTGTGCACTGCATTGTTCCCGCGGCAAACTCCTTTGCATTGCCCGCCCGACTTCAGAAGAGAGCCTTCAGCAGCCCGATTCCCCCGGGAACCGCATTGCCCGCTGCCCAGACACCTTGCATTTCCCTCCTGGTCCCTCCCCCCTCACGCCAGGACGCTCCCTCGAGGAGCGATTCCTCGGGTAGTTCACCTTGCTAGCTTCCCATCAGTAGGGGAACCGCCAGGCACCGCCAGGTAGCTGAAAGAGCGGGTCTCCCGCACCGTTTGGGGGCATATTGATGGGGGGGGGGGATGCGAAGCGGGTTGTTCCATATGATGGCACATGCATTTCAAACAAGAAGTCAAAATATGTGTCCATACCTTGGAAGGATCCAGTCCGGCCAGCAGAGCCAGCAGCAGGACGTTGAGGAGGCTGGACGTCGCCCGCATCCTGACCCGGGTTTTGGCCCCCTCTTCCCTCGCTCGGATGGAGCCACGCCACTCACTGCAGAGACCTTTCCCTGGGCAGTTGCGCTTGGCGCCTGCCGGTCCTGGCAGAGAGGAGGCACAGGCGGAGGCAGGAGCAGGAGCAGCCGCGGCAGCAGCGGCAGCCGCCCTGGGGGGCGATCATTCCGCAGGCATCCTCGGCGCCGGGAGTCCGGGAGCTCTGGAGTGGGCTGGGCTGCAGTGGACGCTGGCCGCGGTGCTGAAGCGCCTCCAACCCGCGCGCCCCAGGCTACCCTCTCTCCCGCTGCCTCTCCACCAGCCCACCTCAAAAGTTTTGACCCAAGCACAAGACCAGGGGAGCAACTGCCGAGAGAGGTGTGGAGACCTGGACGACGGATATGACATCACTCCAGCTCCTGGGGGGACTCGGGGGGATATTGTGTAGGGAATGTGTTAAGCCAACAAGGATTGACGCTCCCTGCTCCAGTTCATCATTCGCCTGCAGCACGAGCTGCAGAGAAGTAAAGAGTCAGCTGGATACAGGATTATGAAACAAATAGTGCACTGGAACCTTCTGTTGTCATTGACAGAGGACTTGATATCGCATTTAGTGCTTTAAACAAAGTTTGCAGTGCAGACTACCAATGTGTGTTTTCTATCCAAAGCACACAATTATTAGCTATCATAGATGTATATGATAATTTCCAGGTGTGTACAGTGAATAACCTTTGAAATAATTTTTTTTGGCTAAGTATTAATGTGCATTTATTTATCTAGGGCTTTTGGTTATCTGAAAATACTATGTATAAATAATGAAGAGGTTTATTTTTTAAATGGTTTATCTCATCAGTGTTCCTCCTCCAACTGCAATACTCACCCCCACACAAGCAGCCACACTCAGAAATATAGTTTTCCTATCAGTCTGACTTGTGTTTATATTTGAGGAAGAATACAGTGATAGATGGACAGTGGGATGGGAAAAGTGATTATGTGTAAGTTTTCAAATACTTCTGCATTCTAGTGCTCAAGAAAAGAGGCAGAACAGCTGTCTTCACAACAGCAAGGAAAGGGTGATTGGCAAACTCACTCTCTCACTCACCCTGCATCATTTAACTATACTTGAACAACTTTATTTCTTTGAGATGAGAAAGTTCTCCATAATGTGAAAAGGTGGGAAGGCATTGACAACATTTCTATCATAGGGATATGCCTTTAATATGCCCAATTTCTGTTGATTTCTCTAGAAATGGTATTTTCTAAGCATTAAAATATGCAAACTGGAGCTGTGGACATTGCATCCTTTTACTTACACATTACAAAGAAGATAAATGTTTGAGATATCAGACATATACTGTATAAAAAATCTCCACCAACATTTCACTGAATATATTCTATTTTCAATGTAAGAAATCTTAAATAAGAATGAAATACTTTTAAAAGTTATAGTCCCCAAGGATTTATATCACATTGCATCTATTTTATCCTGTGCATGTGTGTATGATTACTTGAGGTATTTTTTTCCTACAAAATGTAAGGAACAGAAAATAACTTAGGTCTAAAAATTCCTTTAGAAGAAATGAATCATGCATTAAAGAGATTGCAATATAATAGAAAGAAGGTAGAATTACTTAGAGAGCTGCTAATTTAATGATAACTCTAGCAATCATAACCACATTTATAAATTTCTATTATTTTTAGCAGAAATAGAAAAAATTATTTTGAGGTCTAGCAAAAACTACAGAGTTGTGCCTGACATCTTTGGGATAACTTCTTAGAGCATATTGATAGATAACTTTCTCTTTTATTGGCATTTATTTCTTAACCTAAACTTTATCTATTATCTATGCATCTATATATGTATGCATGTATCTATATATCATCTATCTATCTAATCTATGCCTATTTATTTATTTGTATAGGATAAACTCAGCATAATTTTTCAATGATTCATACATAAAAATTGCTGAAAATTTTATTCTGTACCTATTTGAAAATCATTCACAACTGCACATTTTGAAATTAAATTTGTAGAGGTGTGGTGGCTAAATGATTACAATAGTGCATTTCATTATCCATTCTCAGTTACAACATAATTTTTCATTATTTGCCTTTACACATGCTTTTCTCACTTCCCGAAGTGTCTTCTATCATCTTTTTTGACATTGACACTTCACAGTTAGCAGGCAATGCAACATACTTGTTTGAGTGGAGGTTTTAATGGCACGCGCGCACACACACACACACACACACACACACACTAATATGACAAGATGATTATATCAATTGCATCACTTTAAGATCAACAGATATTCTTGTAATAAGATATATGCTTTTTGTAAATAAAAACTATTCAAGTTTTATACATAATTCACAATATTAGTGATTAGAACAAAACTTCCACATGGGCACATTTTTTTCTTTAATTCTTCATTTTTCTCTATTTCATGGCACTGGAATGTCATTTGTAAGAAGAAGCTAATAAGAAGACAGCTTCTATGCAACCTTGCCAGAAAAATGTGATGGAAGAAGAAGATAATATTTAAAGAACTAAAGTAAGTAATGTATGGTAATTATGTAACAAATGAAAACAGATGATCTTAGCATACTTACAACATACTTGCCATAAGAGAAGCTTAGTTATCTGTAGAGAACAATCAAGTTTAGTAATAAATCAAAGCTGTACTAAACCTGCTACTGAAAAACAAAAGCTGTAAACTAAACAACACAAATTCCCCAATACCCGGCCATTTTTTCTATCTCTCTTTTAAAATGAAACAATCAAATTACATGACTTCTCTTCAACATAATTATAACTATTGCTTTTAGTTAATCACTTGTTTCTTAAATAAAGCCTTCTTGCAATATATTTGACAACATTGTAGGTCATATCCTATCTTTTTAAAATTTTAAACATATTTTTATTATAAAATTATGGGGTACAGTTAAGGGTTAGGTGTACAAATGTGCATCGTTCAGGCACCCTTGTTAGTAAGGGGTGTCTCCCTCTCCCCAGACAGATATTGACTACCGTTAGTCCCACCTCCCTTCCCCTCCCCACCCCG